CCGCCACCAACTTCGAGCTCTTGAGAGGCGTGCAGCTATTTGGTCGCCTCTTTCTCGTCGGCTGGTTCTTCCAGGCATCAAAGATTCAGGCATTGGTGCATGACAAGCTGGTGGAGCACTGGGCGCAGATTTTCACTGCCAAACCTATCAATATTCCCGCTGCCCGCGGTTATGTGAAGAGGTTGGTCCAACCAATGTGTTTTGATGAGGTGCCGCCACCGACCCCGTCACTTCTGCGGGCAGTTGCCAAGAGGTTTCGTCACTCAGAGCCAGGCCTTGGCGGCATTCCCTACTCGGCGTGGAGTTCATCATCGCTTGGTCCCTCGGTGCTCTCAGAGGCCATGATGTGGGTTCTCTCTGGGCAGGCGTTGTTCAAGTCCTCCAACGATACTCTCCAAGTGTGGCTTCCTGAAGGCGATGACCCTGCGGACAGTGTGGCCGCAGGATGCACTCGGTCACCATCCTCGGTCAGAGTGCTTGGACTACGCCATACAGGCATTAGGATCATTACGGCAACGATCAATGCACGCTTCAGTGTTCTTTTCAAAACTTGGGCCCCTCGCTCTCAGCGAGGTTTTATCCCTCGGAGGAACTTTGGGCTGAAAATTCTGGAGCTCGACACGGTCAGCAGGGTCTACTCTGAGTCTACTCTGATGCGCCGTCAGCCGAATCCAATGTCCCAGTCCTGATTGCACTTGACTATGGAGCTGCTTTGCCAAGTCTCTCGCAGGAGTTCATGTATGTGGTGCTCAACGAGATGCAGGTGCCGCGGGCCTTCCTGTCCATCATCGACCAGCTGTACTTAGAGCTCGAGGCTTTTGCAATGGTCCGCAATGCTCCTACCCACGCATTGTGGGTTACGTCTGGCATTGTCCAGGGCTGCTCTTTGAGCGGTTCACTCTACGCGGCGGCCGCTGCTCCTTTTCTGGTCGACCTCCAGCGCCAGCTTGAGACGCCGAGGAAAGGTGTAGCTCGTGATTGCGCCGACGACATTGGTGCCGCCATCAGAGACATTCTCAGCCTGTCCATCTTAGCGGACATCATGCTTCTTGCTGAAAGATTTGCTACGCTGTCCTTGAGGATCGACAAATGCAACCTCGTCCCGCTGCACAAGCCTTTCTCCGAAAATGTGGCATCAGAGGTTCGCTCGCTGCTCCGTGCACACGTCCCTTTCTTCAATCGCATCAACATTGTCGAGTCCCTCAAGTATTTGGGCCTTATTCTTGGCCCTGCTGCCGATGCCGGCTCGTGCTGGACTTCCCTTGCGATGAAGGCTCATGAAAGATCCAAGTTAGTCGGCCACAGCCACCTTCCTGCGTCTCGCTTGCCAGTTCACCACAGCACCCGCATCACCACTGTGCTATCGCATGTTGCCCAATTCCGTCTGATGCCACGGTGGCGAGTTCAGAGCGAACTTGTGGCCTTATCAAGTTCTTTTCTTTTACCATTGGGTACTTTCTCGATGTCGGCATGGCTCCAGTTGCGCTCGGCGGGCGGGCCGACGATTAACTCTTGGTTGGCGATGAGCACTGGGTCCCTTCTTCGTACTGCGTACCGCGCCCTGCCTGAGTTCGAGCGGTTGCATTCGTGGCTCTACCGTCAGTACAGTCGACTAGGAGATCGCATCTCATTTGCACAGCTGTCATCATCTCGACCATACCCCGCTTTCTGGCGCAGCGAGGCTTTTGTGGAGACGCTGTTCAACATCAAGCACGGCCCGTTCCAGTCCACGGTTTGCACACACGAGTTGCTGTCTATTGCGCGCCAGGCAGCTACGCATCGGCTCTCCGATCAGCCGTCTGGCGTGGGCCTGCAGAGGTATATTACGTTGGCGGTCAAGAAGCATCTTCACTCTAGTCCGCTCTGGAACTTTCTGGTCGCGAGGCTCGCCCTCGCCCACCCTGACATGTACGAGGGTGATGTATCTAAAGTGCCTGCGACGAGATGGTCCCATATCATGAAATACCTTCGCTCTTGCTCAACCTCGTGGGCTATGGCGCACTTAAAAACTGCCCCCAACGGGTGGACTACGTCTTCCCGCATCCTTGGTGGCCGCGGTCGCCTTCCCTGTCGCTTCGGCTGTGCTGACGCGGCAGACCAGCTCAAGCGCAATGTCTCGTGCCCGAAGTTCCGCAATATTTGTGAAGATGCGTTGGGCTTCTCTCGCCCTGCCCACCCGCGTGGTCCTCTTGGCCTCCTTGGATCCGCGGTGGATATCAGCAAGGTGGTCTTCGACATTGTGGTGATGCACTTCGCCTACCACGCGGCGTCACACGATGCCCCGTCTGGGACCTGGTCACCTGCCTTCGTTCGCTCCCATGTTTTGGCTGCTATTCGTGCTGTTTCCCTCGAAGCGCGGCGACCTGATCATCTACCGTGGCGGCGGTCCAAGCCCTCAGCGCCAAGGCGCAAGCCTCCGATCTCATTGTCTTCGTCGGCCCCCGCTTCTTCTTCTTCTTCTTCCTCTCCGTCGCCTTCTGTGGCGTTGAGCAGCGCAGAGGACTCGTCAGACAGTGGACGTACATCCGCCACTCGCCCGTCCATGAGGACCATTGGCGGCGCTTTCGAACTTGTGGCTGGAGTCCACGTGGCTGGCTGTGTGACTTGTGGCACGCATGACTCTTTGGCAGGCAGAGAGTACCGACCCGTGTGCAGGTGCCACGTGGGTACGCACTGCTCACCTGCCTCACCCCGCCGCCCAGTCGTCCCTGGCGTTGCTGAAGCCCTGGACCGACCCCTAGTCGTACAAGGGTCCCAATCCTCGCATGCTGATGGAACTGTGGGTACGCCGCGTCCTTCTTCGCCGTCTTTGGGGCGATTTCCCTTGCAGGACTCTGAGAGGCAACGACGGGAACTTTCCAATCGGGTCACCTGCTGGGCGTCTTCTTGGCTACCATCCATCTTCTTCACTGCCCCCCATAGTGACTTCGACGCGTGGAGGGATCGGTGTGTGGACTACATCTTCGGGGTGCTACACTATCGCGGATTATCTGCCCTATTCGCGAACGACAGCCCCGCCCTGATCCAGGACATGAAGAGAGCTGCTGAAGAAATTTGCAGTGCGGGCTGGCACGGATCTACTTCTTCTCGAGAGCAATTACGTCTGCAACTTCTGCGTGGCATTTCACAGAGTAATCCCGTTTTCCTTCACAGGACTTTCGTGAAGACTCGCTCGCACATGGCAATGCTCGAATGGCGTCCTGACCCTTCTCGGATGGAGGATCTGAATCGTACACGCTTTCAACAATGGAAGGCTACTACTGAGACCTGGCGTGCAGCACCTGGGTCCTCCAATGTGCCTGCACCCAACCCGCTCTTCTGGTTCCCCAACATCGATGCGGCCGTTCACACCGACTACCCCTCGCCCACGGACGAGGACCTCCGCACCATGAACGCATGCTCGGACAACCCTTCGCTGCTGACCAAGGGCATCCCGCCGCCTCCCGAGGACGACTTCAAGAGCGACGAGCACGACTACCTGTTGGCATCTGGAGCATGGCAAGTACGACCTCTGCCATTACCATCCACGCCTCCGTCGTGGCCGGCAGCAGGTTCTGGTGATCCCCCGCCCCCTGGTGCCGATGCTGATGTTCTTGACTGGCTTAGTCTACCTCCTGTGCGTCATGGCGGTGTGGCACATGTGGGACAACCTCTCCCTGAGCTTCATCTGCCTCCTGATGCTCACAGACAGCTACTCCGTCCCCTGCGGCGACCACAGGATGAACCCAGGGAGCTACTCCGTCCTCGGCTGCCTCCACGGGTGCGCGCTGCAGACCAAGGGAATGCGTTGGGTCCCCAGGCTGCTAGCACTGGGCCTTGGGGGTTGAACGAATCGCCGCTGTGGGAATCGCTGCAGCAAAACACCTTGGACGCGATCAACTTGCTGATTCCCCACTTCATCCCACTGTCACTGACGACCTCCCTGGCGGCGCCTGGTTCCTCTCGTCCGCCTGCCGCTCCCCCAGTCACGAGTGGCGGGCAGCCTCCTCTTCCTGCCGCTCTTGAGCCTGATCAACTTCACCTGGCGCTGCACGTGCTCCACACCCTCTTCCCCACCATCATGGACGACAAGGGGGGCTTGATCACCTGGCTATTACTTCATCCTTGCAACCTGCTTGAGAATGCCCCGTCTGGTGCTGCAGATGCTGAAGCCACTTATCAAGATGGGCTTCCTGGACCTGCTGATGATGGTTCTATTGAGGAGGCGGAAGATCCTGAGTTCCTCCCGCTGGTCCATGACGCCGACAACTGGCCGACGGACTTGACGGAGTCCGACCCCATCTTTCTCGAGCTGGCGGAGGAGCTCGAGGGAGGTGTTTTCCCTGATCATGTACCTGATGTTCATCGCGAGTTCGACGACTTCATGGACGTCCACACCGACGTCGGCGACGTCACCGAGCCCCTCCTTGACGGCGGCTCCCTCGACGTTGACATGATGCCCCTGAGAGGCTTCGAGGCGGGCGCGAGCGCGGGTGAGGCGACGAGACGTTTCTGGGACGCTCGCTCCTCCTCCTCCTCCTCCGCCTCCTCCTTCTCCTCCTCCTCCTCCTCCGTCTCCTCCTCCTCCTCCTACTCCTCTTCCTCCGACTCCTCTTCCTCCTTCTCCTCCTCCTCCTCCTCCTGCTCCTCCTCTTCCTTATCCGCCGATCTGTTTTTGGCTGCCCGGCCCCGGAGGCTCCACAGTTCTCCGTCCAGCAGCATGCTTGATCCCCGAGACGCCCCCCGAGGGCCGAGCTCGAGGAAAGAACGCTGGTTGCGAAAAACACATCGCCAGAGCTGTGTGTTCCAGAGCGCGGTGTTTTTTTTTGGGGGGGGGGCGGGAACGAAAACATATGTTGATTTCGCACGTTTTTTTGGAGTTGATCATGCTTGCTGGCGATGTTGATCGTTGTTCTCGTCGTCTTCGCCGGCACGGCGGAGGAGCAGGATCCCGGTGTTGGCGGCTCCAGCGGGGTGCTCACTGCTCCCGGTCCCTCCCCCTCGTGCGGGGCACCGCCCAGGACGCAGCAGAAGCGGGCGCCCGGGGCCGCTGGCGTCGACCGCCTGGCGGACTTGTCGCCGCCGGAGGACACGTCTTTGGGTCTGCTTCGTCGCCACCGTCCTCGCTTCGTCGGCAGAAACGGCGTCACCACGCCGTCTCCAGCGCCGCACTTCCGCCACCGTCGTCGTCGCGTCGTCGCACGCGGCGGGGCTTCGCGGTTGTCGCTGGCGTCCCTTGGCTCACACCCCGCCGCCGCCGTGGTCCTCCTTGTCGTTTTCATCGCCATCGTCGTTCCCGCGCCGCCGCCGCCGCGAAGGCCGCCGCCGCCGTGGTCTGCCCGTGGTCATCTGTCGTCGTCTGTGATCGTCGTCGTCTGTCATCGTCTGTCGCTGTCTGTCGTCGCCGAAGCCTGTCTTCCCGTCGCCGTCTGTCGGTTGTTCCTCGCCCGTCCTCCTCCTCCTCCTCCTCCTCCTCCTCCTCCTCCTCCTCCTCCTCCTCCTCCTCCTCCTCCTCCTCCTCCTCCTCCTCCTCCTCCTCCTCCTCCTCCTCCTCCTCCCTCCTCCTCCTCCTCCTCCTCCTCCTCCTCCTCCTCCTCCTCCTCCTCCTCCTCCTCCTCCTCCTCCTCAGTGAGATGACGCCCCCGCAGCCCGCGCGGACGCCCCGGGGCGACGACCTGCCCCAGCGCGCCAGCACGGCGCGGCAGTGCGCGCAGCAGCACGGCCGTCGCCTCGGAGCGCGATGCCCGACGCCGACGCCGTCGCCGACGACGTCGTCGCCGTCGTCGCCGTCGTCGTCGTCGACGACGGCTTGTCGCCGCGGGTGTCGCCGTCGTGGCCGTCGCCGTCATCGCCATGCCCGTGGTTCGGGGCGTCGTCGCCGTGGCCGATGCCGACGCCGTCCTCGACGCCGCCACTGTTATTCCAAGGAGGGAAAGCCACCCCGACCCCAACAGCTGGCTTTTACCAAACAGCCCTGTTCGTATACTAATCGTTTACTAAAGAGTCCTCCCCTGTTCGATTCCTTTCCGTTGGTGCGTCTACTAAGCGGCTTCGCGTGCTCATTATGAGGCTAGATTTCGTGCCCTCTAGTCGTTGCGGTGATCGTGGTCGCCCTCGCCGTTGTCGTCGTGGTCGTCGTCGCCGTCGGCACCGTGGCCGCCGTCGGCGTCGTCGTCGTCGTGGTCGCCGTCGCGGGGGCACTTCGTCCTTCGAATGGTCGAGGGAGGGTCGGCCGAGATGTTCGGGCGGTTTCGGTCTCCCTTGGAGCTCTGGTGACCTCCAGGGGGGAACCTCCAGGGACCTCTGGGGACCTCTAGACGATGTCGGACGTCGTCGTGGTCGCCGCCGTGGTCGTCGTCGACTTCGTGGTCGTGGTCGTCGTCGACGGGGTCTTCCGCAGTGGTTGTGGTGGTCGTCGCAGACCCCCATTCATCGTTCGAGGATTTAGGTTTTCTATCGTTGTCAGTGTTTTTCTGGCTCCAGAGGCGTTCGGGAGCCTGAGAGGACCTCCAGACTCCTCCTGACGACACTGGTCGTCACCATTATCGTCGTCGTCTCCGTGGTCGTCGTCGTCGTGGTCGCGGTCGCCGTCGTCGAGGTCTTTGGTAGTGGTGGTGAAGGGTGATGGTGGTGGTCGTCATTGTCGTCGCCGTCATCGAGGTCGTCGCCGCCTCCGTCGGGGCGTGGTGGTCGTCGTCGTTGCCTTCGCCGTGGTGGTCGTCGTAGCCGTGGCGGAGTGGTGGTGGTAGTCGTCGTCGTTGCTCGTCGTGGTTCTGCTGCCGTCGTCGTGCGCCTCCCCAGCAGTGGGACGAGTTTCTCTTGCTGCTCCCGCGGCATGTCCTCCCAGGCGCCACGGCGATGCCAGTCAGTCGCACTCGGCTCGGGGCCGCTGGCTCCCATGGCCATCACGCCTCAGCGCCTGCGCACGGCGCCCCAAGGGCTGTGTGGTCGCCGTCGTCACGAGCTGGCCTGCACGCCCGCGAAGCGCGCGGTCCGAACCCTCGCCCTCGCCATCGCCAGCATCACCAGCACCATCACCATCGTCACCCTCACCACCCTCACCACCCTCATCGCCACCATTCACCGGCACCACCAGAACCGCCTCGTCGTCGTTACCGCCAGCCTCCTCGACAATTACTCAATATGAATACTACTCTCCCTCTTCCCCCGATGGCGGCCTGAAAGTAGCCGACCCCCCCCCCGCGTCCTGCTTGTTTACACACAGGATTCCCGGGAGTTGGGCTTTCGCCTGCATTTTTTTCAAAATGCTGCTCTCGCCGAGGCGCCGCCCTCATTTTCGGGCCCCGCTCGTTCCGAATCGCGCTCCCGCTGCAGCGCTGCCTCATTTCCGTGCTTCCGCTCGTTCCGAATCGTGCTCCCGCTGCAGCGCTGGTCTCATTTCCGCGCTTCCGCCCATTTCGACTCGTGCTCCCGCTGCAGCGCTGGCGTCATTTCCCGTGCCATGCCACAGCACACGCGCACACACGCACACACACACACACCACCCACCACCACCACCACCACCACCACCACCACCACCACCACCACCACCACCACCACCACCAGCACCACCACCACCACCAGCACCAGCACCAGCACCAGCACCAGCAGCAGCAGCACCAGCACCACCACAACCACCACCACCACCACAACCACGCACACACGCACGCACGCACGCACGCGCACCACCACCCACTACGCACGCGCGCGCGGAGCCACAGGTCCGCTACGACACGCGTCCGCGGATAGAGAAAATCAGCGCCATGGTAAGGGATGGGAGGGAGGGGTAGGACGTCAGATATGACGCGAGCGCACCTAGCTTGCCCCCCCCCGTCTTCTCGCGCTCCTGCTCGTGCCCCGTATGCGCGGCCCCAGGGGGCGCGGCGCCGCCCTCCCCCCGGGCGGCCACGGGCGGAGGGCCGCGCCCGCGCGCCGGCGGGGCCCTGCGGCCCGCCGCGGAGCCATGCGCGGCGGCGAGGCCGGCCGCTACGCGGCCGTGGGCAGGGCGTTCGTCCTCGCCGCCGCTGGCGGTCCAGGCCTCCCAGAGGGTCACCGGCTAACGTACAGTCGGGGCCCTGAAGAAGGAACCCTTTCCGTTGGGGAGGGGCTCCGTGTGCCTGAATTGTTTCGCAGTTTGCCTTAGGCTGTCTTTTGGCTTTCGGTATGACATCGAAGTTAAGCTCATGGAAAATGGGGGCCTCGTTCCTTATTTAGGGTTCCTTAGGTCAATGCCCCGACTGTAGGTCGTGGCAGCGAATGAGCGCGCGCTCTTCACACAGATGATTGAAAGCACAGGGATGGTTCGCTACAGCGAGGGGTGGATTTCTTGGACTGCGCCGCCGACTCAAGACAAGACAAGGCGCCATTTAGCAAGCGCCAAACACCGGTCTACTGAATTCAGAATCCCAGATCCTGTTATTACCATGACCAGAGTGGCTCGATCAGATGGGGTCCGAGCAGATGAGGTCAGAGGATCTCGCCGCACCGCTGACGCATTGGTGAGGCGGCTCGATGCGGAGCCAGATTGGGAGGCCCTCACGGCCAGTGCCGACGACCCTGAAGGGGGGCGACGACCACGACGGCGGCGTCGGCGGCGACGACGGCGTTGACGTGAGGTAGAGTCCTCAGTCTGCTTCGTGGGGCTTCTTCGGAGTGCGCTCGTAGGCCTGGCAGGTAGTTTTTGGGGCCTCTTGAGAACATCTTGGGGGCCTCCTGGGAGCCTCTTGGGGGGACCTTCGGGTTTCCTCGGGGCCTAATGGGGGCCTCGTGGGGGCCTCTTGGGGGGCCTCTCGAGGGCCTCTTGGGGCCTCCTGGGATCTTCTCGGGGCCGAGGGCTCGAACTGTTCGTTCGGGCTCCCGTGTGAGCACAACCTTGGAGCCGTTTGGGGGTCCTCTTGGGCCGTCTGGGAGGCCTCTTGGGCAGTCTTGGGGCACTCTTGGGTCATTTTAGGGCTGTCTTGGGAACCTCTTGGGGGCCTCTTGTGCCGATCTTGGTGGCATCTCGGGCCGTCTTGGGGCGTCGGGAAACCGAAAAGGCGAGAACGCCAGCATCTTTCAAAAACCCTGGAGAAAATCATTGAATTTTGCCTGTTGGATCCCTCTTAGTGTGCTCTTGGAGGCCTCTTCGAGTGTCTTGGAAGCCGCTTGGGCTGTCAGGAGGCCATGTATGGCGTCTTGGGCCAGTTGCTCGAGGAGGGCCCAGTGACGGGGCGGGGAGCGGCGACGGGCCCAGGGAAAGTGGGTTTCAACGCGACGACGACGACGACGACGACGACGACGACGACGACGACGACGACGACGACGACGACGACGACGACGACGTCGGGTCAAACAGAACAGCGTCTTCCACACGCCGACGTCAGCGACGCCTCGGCGCCGCCACCTCCGACCCCCTCTGGGAGGCCCCTAGGCGGGCCACGCGGGGCGGCGGAGCCGGGCCGCTGCGCGACGGAGGGCCGGGCGCCCGCGCTCGCCGCCTCCGCGGCTGCGCGCAGGAGTGGCTCGTTGGACCCAGGGCTCCTCGCGTCGTGAGCTAGCCTGGCGAAGGGCCCAACCATATCTTGGCATCGCTCGGACGTGTGCATTTTTCCTTCGGCGAGGACCATCGAGGAGCATCCTTGATCATTTGGCGAAAAAACCACGCACGAAACCAGAAAAAAACACGGGGAATGGACGTCCGAGCGATGGCCAGATATGCAGTTGTGAATGCCGCAGTGATAGGTATCGTCCTCGGTGGAGCCCCCCCTGATTATAGGGCCACGAGACGCTGCACCGGGCCGGGCAGACGCATGCGGACCGTGCCACTGGGACCCTCGGTGGAGCTCCCTATGGGGTCACGAAACGCTGTACTGGGTGGGGGAGACGCACGCGGGCTCGAAAGTGGTGACACTTTCGCATATCGCAGCCTCTCAGGGATGGCGAGGTCTGATCTGAGTCTGGGTGGTGCCTCACTCCGCTGGACCCACCAGCAGCCCTCGAAAGTGGCGGCAGTTTCGCAGATCGCAGGCCCCCCAGGGACGAGTCAAGTCAAGTCAGAACCGTGCCTTGGACGGCACATCGGTTGCAGTGCGCGGCGGTTGCTGCACGCA